TGAATTCTCTGTGACACCAGGACAATGGTTTGACACCAGTGAGCCACCCAAGCCCTTTCCAAAAGCAAAATCACACAAAAAGAGACCATGATAACTGTAAGGTGGCCGGCGGCTAGTGTGATTCTCTGCAACCTGACCAAATCATCACAGCAGAGTTTTAATTGTGGGGAAATCGACAAAATTTTGAAATGTATAAGAAATTGTATTAGCAGCAGTCGGCAATGATCCACAGAAGAGGTCCGATCCTGCTCCATGATAACGTCCGTCCGAAAATTAAACAAATTTAGCGTCGAAATTTTGCCTCACCTAACATACCTCCCAGACCTTTCACCAACTCACTACCATCTATTCATGCCCTTCGATAACTTTTTCACCGGTAGAACCTTCGAAAAAACAGCTTTTTCATGCCGCATCGGCTCCTTTGTGGGTAGGGTTTGCAGAACTTCTTAGGAAGATCATTCTGCAAGAATTTAAATCTGAATGAAAACAAAATTTGACCAGATATTTGCAATAGTATAAATTTTGAATATTTTTTATTTTGCCAAAATTGTACCAACGGAGCGGAAATTTAGCATGATATATTATATATCCTTTGGTGCCCATGACTCAGAAAACAATTCTTACTGGTAATTAACTGCTCTACAATGTGTAGTTCATAATTACTTCATATATCATTGTTGTTCAGTTGAAGTACACAGGAAGCAGCATACAAAATTTCAAAATTTAAGTCTGTGGTGGAGTTTCATTACGTCCAAAACCTGTTTCGTAGTACGATTGGAACCTCCATTTTACTAAAATACCTTCTGATTTCAACGCAACCTCTCATTTCAAATATATAGGAAACTATCTGCATAGTTTCAAATGGAAATTTTGGAAATTGAGTCGGAAATGAAGCTTTATTCCTTGAGTCTTCTGCATTTGTTGCTAACACATTTATTAATTTTCTGACATAACCAATACTTTAGCAATACGACATAATGACAATACGACATAACCAATACGTCACTTCTCACGGGCTACCCCAGATTACCCCCCCTATTAAAATTGGTTCAGAAGTGATGAAGATTTTGAAATACATTCAGCTGCGTTGTTATCATGGCATCATAAAAGTCAAGTATTCCACTAGTTTTCGTGAAAATTCCAACCCTGATTGATCTAGATATGATTATAGATTACCGGCAAATTGATATTTTGGGAGTGGAAAAATTAGGAAATCGATGTTTCATTTCAAATGCCATAAAATGTAGGTCTGCATAAAGGAAATTCAGGACGTCAATTTTGATGATACATTTTGCTCGTTATTTACGAACATTCGCAATATCTGTCAAAAATGTTATTTTATTTTGTTAGTGGAAAGCATTAATAGATATTTTCATGCCAAATGACATTCCCATCCTTTTAAATTTTCAATTGATAACAACTGGCCAAGTTTTGATCGAATTTGGATTCGAAACCTCACTAGTTTTCGTGAAAATTCCAACCCTGATTGAGCTACATATGATTATAGATTACCGGCAAATTGATATTTTGGGAGTGGAAAAATTAGGAAATCGATGTTTCATTTCAAATGCCATAAAATGTAGGTCTGCACAAAGGAAATTCAAGGACGTCAATTTTGATGATATATTTTGCTCGTTATTCACGAACATTCGCAATATCTGTCAAAAAATGTTATTTTATTTTGTTAGTGGAAAGCATTAATAGATATTTTCATGCCAAATGACATTCCCACCCTTTTAAATTTCCAATTGATAACAACTGGCCAAGTTTTGATCGAATTTGGATTCGAAACCTACAAAATGACTGTCTTGAGACAGTCTCTGATACCTCAGAAGTTTATCAACTGAAGGTTTGGAACAGCATCGAAAAAACATGTTTTCGTTGAATCAGAACAAGTTTTTCATGTGTTAACAAAGATCCCAGTGTTTGAAATGAAAACAATTTTAAAACGTCATTTGTAAGGATTTCAGGTACTGGTATCAAACCCGACAAATTAAATCCTTCTATTATGATGGCGATCGGCCCCTTCTTGTATAAGTCGCCTGGGTTAATAATGGATAAGATAATTGAAGAAGTAGTTCTGAGTCTGCAAATCCGACAAAAAAAATCAAAACTAATACTACGAAATGGAACTCTGAGGGACCAGACCTTTAGAAAGTGGATGAGATGGGTACAATTCAGAAGAAAGACGAAATTCTGAAGTTGATTTGAAGCTGCCTTCATAAAGGAGTACAAGCAAGTATAAGCAAGTGTCAAGTGTGATTCGCAGTGAACATATATGGACCTCTCATCCCTAGCTGACAGAGAAAAATGGTTGTAATTTCCTGAAATAGTTTGAATCAGGTAGATGTTGGGTGAGGGGTACTTTCAGAACTTTTTTCTGCCAAGCTGGTGTCAAGATTCTTGTGACATAAGTAGTACAGTCCGTGAAGCATCTCACGCTCTTCTCCATCGATGCCTGTAACTGTAAGAAAAATGAAGCTACCGTAAGTTTCCCTGTCAGAAAATCGGAGAAGAACTGACAACAATTCACGAATTCACAAGGTTACAACGAAAATTACCTGCTAGCAAGCAGATAGAGAACATTAAAGCATTGGTCGTCTATATAGAGAAATTACTCTTTACAATGGTAACGTTCCTCCTACGTGGATACGAATCAAGTGAACGTGTTTTCACGTAGAGAAGGCAATGTTGAGTGGTGTTAGGCAATTAATCGACAAAGTGTTTAACATTGAAGGTGACATTCTCACTATGTATTCTCTGTCTATAAAAAAAATTTGTAAAGAATGAAAAAGTGAATATGATTTTCATTTCAACTAGTCATTAACTATTTCTATTAACCACTGCTTCGGATTAACATTTGGAACGTTGTTCATGGTAAGTTGAATAAGAACAGGAGTCAGTGACGTAATCTTTCGTTTTTCTGGATAAAATAAGTTGGTATATGAGAAAAATTGTCAAAAATCTAATATTTATGTGAAACTGAGTACAGCGATTTTCAAAATGAATAAATCAAATTTGACGGTCAAGTTCAACTGGGAAAGTGTATAAAACTGTTAGTTGAAATTGATGCTGGCAATATTCTAAATGACTCGGTTAAATTGTATGCTGAATCTCAAAATATTTCATTATTATAATCTATTTATAGACGTATTACTCACATGTAGGTTCGAAGAACTTCACAAGTTTCTGTACTAGGCTGAATAAACTGCTGCTTCAATTCCAAGTCCAAGTCATTTCTCTGATAATCTTATTTGGATTACATTACTTTTATAATACTTATTCAGAAGAATATATATAAGATTATTGGTGCGGTTTGCCATCTAGTGTAGAGTAGTTTAACTAAAAACATACAGTCGAAATGTAAACTGAGCAAAATAGTTTCCTACCGAGTCGTAAATTCAAGAATTCTAGAGCCTCGAATATAATGAATGAACATTTGGGATAATTGCTTGAATCATTGTTTTACCTTGAATAAGCTTGGACGCTTCGAATAATAAAGCTACAAAGAAATAACCAATAATTGAAGTTACCACTTAAATGATGAAGGCGTTGATTGGAGAGAAATAGGACAATGTTAGGGATAGTTATTCACCTTTTCAAAACGAAAGATAGATGTCAGAGGTGAGTTGTGTATTTCTACATTTTCAGTAGAATTTACAGTTCCAATTGATGGAATCTATTCATTGAAACAATATAGTTTATAGGTCTATTCCTTGTAGGCATTTTGTTTTTCTGAAATTATTAACCTTTGTTTATTAACATGTGATCATATATGCCATGCAACACAGTTGAGATTGGTTTTGAAGAAAATATTATGATACAGTAGATAGTGTGAATATTACTGGAGGTTTTTCCCGAAACAAAATCGTGTTTGAAACACCTCGACACGTGTTCCGATCAACAAGTGATCATCTTCAAGAGAAAGATTTTTTTCGAATGAAATTTTCATATGAATGTACGATTATTGAAAAAACTTATATAAATCATATTTATTGTTTTGACCCACGACTATTTTATCGTGAGTATGAATGCTAAATGCACACAAGAATTAGGTACAATAACTCTTGTGAAAAAATACCGGCTAGGTGTACTGTAGACAAAACAAGATTTAATTCTAACTGTACTCTTACAAGGTTTGAAACGTAATGAATGAATTGACAAAATGCAATGTTTCACATCGATAGTTAGAGAAGAGGTTTCAGATTCGTTATTGTAGGGATAGACAGAGATTTGTGTCAACATAGGTAGGAAAGGTCATGTTAGCGGGTAATTCCCAAGATAAGTGATACAAGAAACAATTAAGGAATTTAAAAATTCAGCTATTTGTAGCTTACAATATTTACATTAAATTTACGGGTTGCTTGAGAAAAGATATTCGAGAATATTGAATTTTATGAGGATAAGTGGATTAGAAAAGACCCGTACATTAGAAAACCAACTGAAAACCCCCGATTTGGAATAATGAAAAACTAAATAAGTTAAACAATATTAGTTTACATTACATAAAATGAAAATAATGCAATAAAAGAATCTGTTTAGTTGTACAAATTTTAGAGCTGGTAACTCTAGGCTAAATACTGAAAAAATATGATTCACTTGAAAAACATAATGATTTTGATATCAAGATTTTGAGACCGAATATTTATAAAACAGGATTTCGGATTAGTTCTATAGCAATACTGATTTGTGAAACAGAGAAAATGAAGAAAAAAACAAACAAACTGTACCTACCACAAAACCGTCACGATTTTTCGAAACGACTAATAATTTTTTTTTCAAAATGAGGGTAATCTTCTTTCTGATTGTTATATTGAGAAAATTTCTTATATTCGAACAGATGGAGAAATTACAAAAAACAAATTCATATCGAGGATGTTTCATATCAGTACTAGGAATATTGTTATTATTTATCATTTGACTTTTATACAAAATTTTGATATGACCGCAAAATATACCTTGAAACAAAATTCGATATTTTACTGAAATAAAACGACTGGTGGAAAAATAAATCTTTAATGAATCACGGTTTTCACAAACATATATTTATTTCAATTAGATGTTATCCAAACTACACATATACTTATTCCTTTGAAATTTTATTGAATATTTTAACGTCTATTCAAAATACTAGTATCAAAATACCTTGAGTTCATTAATGAATCACGGTTTTCACAAACAAATATTTATTTCAATTAGATGTTATCCAAACTACTCATATACTTATTCCTTTGAAATTTTATTGAATATTTTAACGTCTATTCAAAATACTAGTATCAAAATACCTTGAGTTCATTTATTTAATGAAGAAGCAAATGATTTGTCAATGTTTTCATTAATGTTGATCATAGTTTTGTTCATGAAATCATTGTGTTGATGTTTTCGTGAATCTGAGATAACAATGAAGAGGTGAAAAATAAATAGGTTTTAGGCGATAATGAGATACTAGACGCATAATGGAATGCATTAACAAATAATGTATTTTGACAGAATAATTCATTTCTAGAGTAGATGCAGTTTCCAAAGATTTGGCAATATCCCCACTGTTTTTCTCAATAAAAAAATCTTCATCAGTCCTAATTCTATCTAAAGAGATGAACTTTAAATGCTCAAACCCGTCTCGGATAACATACACAGTAGGTTCAATGGACTGACGCCTATCAGAAAACAACAACTCCACTGGCTAATACCACGAACGGCGTTGGATTATATCCGACAGGCGTCAGTGCAGGAATCTTCACAGAAGATTTTCTGCATATGCGATTGGCAATTCAACTGAATGAGTCGACCTTCAATTTTTGAACGGCCACACTTGCAAACCGGTTTCGGGCTCCTTAGCCACTCGTCAGTGCAAGATAGTGACCATCATTGACCTTAAGTCAATGATATTCCATAATTGAAAATAGTCAACAGCTATCTTGGGTTCAAACAGGTTGGAGCCTGGCTCCCTTACCCTTTGGACTGAGGTTCGTCTCAGGAAGGCAAACGGGTCAAGACTGATTGTATGGGATGACGGCATGAATATCCTCAGACATCAGTGCCACCCTTCACGTGGACCCCTACCTGGCTGGTGTATTTGGATGAAGATATTATTCATCTTTTAACGGGGGACATGAGGACCTCACTCGACAGAGTGTTTGGGCCTTCTATATCGGGAAGGGTCATCTACAGCATAATCCATAGCTTCCCTAACTAACGGATTATCGTGGGTTTCTGGGCAATCAAACACTTGCCGATTCCTCGACTGAATGGAAAATCGAAATTCTTTCAGAGTATTTCATTCCTCGTCTTAAGTTAGAGCGAACATCAAAAATGTCACTCCATCTAGTGGACTAGGTACTAACCAACTGCATATCCGAAATTTGCCCGATTCCTCGGAATAAGGAAGAAAAACTTTTTTATTCCGAGACGGGCTTGAACATTTGAAGTTAATTTTTTTAGATTTGTTAACTGCCCGTCTTCAAGCATAGCCCACTGACTAATAAGAAAGTTTTTCTTCCTTATTCAGAGGAATCTGGCAAATTTCGGATATGCACTTGGTTAGTTCCACGTCCACTAGATGTAGTAACATTTTTGATGTCCTCTCCAACTTAAGATGAGAAATGAAATACTCTGAAAGAATTTCGATTTTCAATTATGGAATATCATTGACTTAAGGTCGATGATGATCACTATCTTGCACTGACGAGTGGCTAAGGAGCTCGAAACCGGTCTGCAAGTGTGCAAAATTTAAGGTCGACTCTTTCAGTTGTATGCAGGAAATCTTCTGTGAAGATTCCTGCACTGACGCCTGTCGCATATAATCCAACGCCGTTCGTGGTATGAGCCAGTGGATTAGTTGTTTTCTGATAGGCGTCAGTCCATTCAACCAACATTTAAATTTCATTTCTTCAGATTTGTTCACTGCCCGTCTTCAAGCATAGCCCACTGACTTATAAGAAAGTCCTGATTCTAATCGGATTCTTTTCCATTATTATTTTCAGCCTTGTAGGAGCAAAAGCAAACTGAACTGAAAGGGGTATATTTTTGGAAGAAAATAATTTTTGGAAAAAAAAGGTTTTGGCTTTTTACTGACAGTGTTCCATTTAAATGAAAATGTTACCTTTTCTATTAACTATATTGTGTAGCAATCCTGTGAAAGATATCTGATTCAATTCCATAAAGAATGGAAGAATTGAAAGACAAACTGAATAGGAAAAAGTGTTTTTTGTATAATTCAATAATCATATGAACGTAGTTGTTTCGAAAGTATTTTTCATTCGAATAATGTTTATATGAAAGTAGCTTTTTCGAAAGGGCTTTTCTTTCAGTTTGGGTCTGAAAGTT